AAACTCCTGGGCTCAGCCAATCCTTCTGCCTCAGGCTCCCGATTAGCTTCGGATTATGGGCACCCACCACCATGTGAGTGTTTTTCCAAAGGCAATAACATGTTGTTTTCAGTTTATGATACTGAGCAATATATTCTATGGTCTATTTTTAATTGCAGTAAAATTACTTTTTGTTTTCATATATGACTTTTACTGGAGATTTTTCCCTCCTTGAATTGTAATACAGACTATAAATTTAATACATTTCTTCCTTGTGCTACTCCAGTGAAAAATATGTGGGGGGCATAAATTAGTGTGTTGTTTGGAGTTGAAATTTCGTTTAATGAAACAGCACATAAAACAATGGCAGGTACAAATTAGGTTCTGTGTAAATATAAAAATAGAATTGTCCCTGTGAGTCCTTAGTTCAGTGAAAGTACTAAGGAGATACAATATAGCAAAATGAAGTCTCTTAATACGGAACTTATGTAGGATTAGTTGTTTGGAAATCAAGTGTGTGGAGGCCTGTCAGCATGTGGACAGATATCTTAAAATATAGTTAAGGAAGGATGTAGTTCCCAAGTTTTCAACTATAGTTTGTGAGAAAAAGAGAATCTCCATTGGCAAATACCTGGAGGCCATTCTACCACTTCCTGCTGCCTGGTATTGCTATTCCCAGCCAGAGGATCTTGCAGGAAAACATGATGTTTGTGTGAATTTTACCAAGGAAACTGATACCGCGTATTTTCCCCTTAGATTTGTTCCCTGCCTAAAATGCTTAGTAAATATATTTTCATTATAGGTGATTTCTTATGTTTGCATGTGTATTTTCCTTTACCTTAATCACAGAGTAAGAATCACTGTTATTAATGTTTTATGTCTAAAAACTGCTAAAATCTTATTTCTGAAATAGGTATTGATAATGTTCTTATTTCAGCAATGAGGAAACCTAGGACATTAGTAGGCTAAAGACTCACTCAAATCTGGGCAACATAGTGAAACCTTGTCTCTACAAAAAATAAAAACACTAGCCTGTAGTCCTAGCTAATTGGGAGGCTGAGGCAGGATCACTTGAGCCCAAGAGTCAGAGGCTACAGTCAGCTCTGATCATGCTGCTGCACTACAGCCTGGGCAACAGAGTGACACTCTGTCTCTTAAAAACAAGACTCACCTAGTCACATCCCAGTGACTGAGTCAGGATTTGAATTCATGTCTGGCTGCAAAGACCAGTCTCAATTGTGATATCAAAATAACAGTGCTAGTAATTTATGTCCTTCAACTACTCAACATCTATACTTATTTGGTTAGTATCTGTTGCATTTTTAAGGGGGTTATCTTTATACATTATTGTGATTCTGATTACTTTCTGTTCCATATACACTACAATCTTTAAAATTTTTTTTTAGACAGGGTCTCACTCTGTTAGCCAGGCTGAAGTGCAGTGGCCTAATAATAGCTCACTGCCACCTTAAATGCCTCAGCTCAAGTGATCGTTTCACCTCAGCCTCCCAGGTGGCTGGGACTACAGGTGTATACCACCTTGCCTGACTCTTGTACTTTTATTTTATAGGTCAGTAGTTTCCATGAATTATGCTTAAAATAATTGGAAAAACACTCATTACCACATAATCATGCAAGAAAGACAATCCAATCTTTCAGGAGAGGTATCCAGTCCTTGACCTATTTGTGATTCTTAAATATCAGCTCATTGAAGTGCAAGGAATAATTTACCAATAGTGGCAAAGAGAATGTATATTTCCTGAACTGAGACTGTTTTGAAAATCTGTGTTCCCATTGCAATTATCAAAAACAATTACAGGTTCCTAATATGCACCAGCAAACACACCTTGGAGCATTGGTGGGAGTTCTTCCTTTTCCATCATCTCCAAAGGCAACCAGGGCTTCACATGGAGAAAGCAAAAAATGCTGAGGTCTCACACTTGGGTAGTGATGTTGGAAGTCTTTACATGTGACTCTTTGCTGTCTGTATATCTGCTTCAATAACAAGTCTCTTAATATTTTTGTCCATTTTTTAATTTGATTAATTTGGTTTTTGTAAAGTCATTCTAGAATTCTGTATGTATTACACATATCAGTTTTTTCCAGGTATATGGTAGGCAAATATTTTGTATTTGGTGGCTTTTTGTTTATCACCTTAACAAATTATTTCACATACCAAAGTTATAAATTTGATAAAATCCAGTTTATAGACTTTTTTTCTATAAGGTCTCATACTTTTGGTGCCATGTCGACTTTTGTTTTCCAGACAGTGTGTTACTCTGTCCCCTGGACTAGAGTGCAGGGCATCAGCACAGCTCACTGCAGACTGAAGCTCCTGGGGGCAGGTGATCCTCCTGCATTAGGCTCCCTAGTAGCTAGGACCACAGGTGCACGCCACCATTCCCAGCTAATTTTTCCACTTTTTTAGATACTGGGTCTCGCCCTTGCTCACGCTGCTGTCAAACTCCTGAACTCAAGCAATCATCCTGCCTCAGCCTCCTAGAGGTCTAGGATTACAGGTGTGATCCACACCTGCCCCATAGCACTTTATTAAGTCTCTTATTTACATAGGAGAAAGCTAGATAAAGGCCCTCCATATTCTCATTCTTTGTCTTATTAAGGATTCCTTAATTGTTTGTCCCGAATGATCAATAAGAACAATGCTGGGGTGTTTGTTTGTTTTTTGACCCAGTGTCTTGCTCTGTCACCCTGGCTAGAGTGCAGTGTCATCACCATAGCTCACTGCATCCTCCACCTCCTGTGCTCAAGCAATCTTCCTGCCTCAGCGTCCGGAATAGCTGCGACTACAGGCTCACACTACCACACTAGGTAATTTTTGTATTTTTTTGTAGAGGCCAGGTGTTGTTCTAGCCTAGGCTGGTCTCAAACTCCTGGCCTCTGGGAATCCTTCCACCATTTGCTTCCAAAGTGCTGAGTTTATAGGCCTGGGGGGCTCCTCCCAGGCCCCCAAACTTTGGACTGTCCCAGGTCATTGGAAATCAGTACAAGCTCTCCTCCTGGACAACCCCTCCCCCAAATAGGCTGATCTTAGGCTAAAATATTCCCAAAGTACCTGTAGGTCCCAGGGGCTCATCCATTGTCCCACACCTGGTGCCTTCTAGACTTGTTTACACTTTCATATAAAAGGAAAGCTCTTTTGTTTGTGACTCTTAGACATTTGCAGAATCTGTGGTTGACACATTCTCCCTATTGCAATTATCCTTTTAAATAAAATCTCTCCTATGTCTAAATTTATTTTTTGACAATAATGAATATTTTATTGTTCCATCTGTGTTAGGATATGTACATTCTGTCTTTTGTCCCATCTAGACTTCAGAAAATGTTAAACTTTGAAAAGACAAATATAACAAAAATTGCTCATTCTCTTTTTTATAGTATAGGGTATAATATATACACAATAGGTAAAAGTAGTTCCTAGTTAGAAAAAAAAATTAAATCCTTAGTAATTTGTGTCTCTCTTATAATATTATTACAGGGACCATATCTCAAAATTTTTCTGTGGCTGAGAAAATATCCCTGTTTTTTCCTTAAGAATAAGAATGTCCATGTTGTTTCCTTGAAATGTTTAGAAGCAGCAAAATTCCACATATGCAAAATAGATTCAAGACTTTGTGCTATACTCAGCTTCTTATCGACTGTTTTGAGTTTAACCCAAATCTCCACAATCAACACATTAATTTTTTTTGGATATTGAAGTCTAGGTTAAAAGTTCCTTCCTGGCAACATAGTTACTTAATAATATTCAATAGTACAGAAAGATCCCAAATCCTAGCGTCAACAGTGCAACTTTAAAAACATGCAGATATATCTTCTTGTATTCATCTGTGTGCCATGCCAGGACATTCTGCTCATTTCACGCCAATAAAATGTTAAATATGCTAAGTTTCCATGTGAGTATAAGCATGTTTAAATTTATTACCATTTCATGAATGAAACTTAAACAAATAATGATATTAGAGAAAAACATACTTCTCAGTACATGTTAACTCACAGATGCTGCCATAAAATTATTGCTGGTAGAAATGAAGATACTTAAAATGTAATAATCAAGTTTTCTTTTGTTCAGGGTTCTTATGAAGGAGAATAGCCTACCTGCTACATACTCTTCAAACTATTCCAAAATTATTCTCTAGGGAAAAATAAATGCAAATGCCCATGTTCTCCATACATAACAGAATATTCAGAAAGATAAAACAAAGACCTAAAATACATTACCATTTTAAAATAAAAGTAGGTTTTCAGTATACACATAAAGTCTATTTGAAATTACAGTATATTTAGAAATTACTGACATAACAATATTGTGATGTCAACAAAGACTATCTCTAAAATATTTCAGGTTAACTTATCTTCAGTGGAATAACATAATAAGTATACCAAGTGTAAGGAACAATTAACTAATATCTATTTTAAAAAGTTATTGCTTTTTTAAAAGCAACAATTGGCGACCTAACTTATTACTGGATTTAGGTTTCCATGCCTTGCACCTCAGGTGTTGTCCCTATGAAAGTCTCTGGAACTGAGCACAGGGTTGACTCCCTCCATAGTATATGGGGAATATAAACGGAAAGGATTTCCATTGTGTTCTGTTGGGCGTCAGCATGAAGTTGCACATTCTGCCCACCCAGAGATTTGCATTTCACATTCTAGCTTGTATCCCCTTCGCACTCAATTCTGGGGCTGTTTAATTAATTTGCTAACATCAATTTGAATGGAAGGAACTTCCCTGGATGCAATCACAACCCACGTGGATTCCGCCAGAGCAATCCCAGCTCTCAGTCCCCAGACCTGCTTCAGCCTCAGTGTTGAGTCCTTCAAGCCCACCAAAGCCTTGCAAAAAGAAGCGCTGAGAGCTAGGCGAGGGAAGCTCAGGCCCCGCCCACAGCCCACCAGGCCCCGCCCACAGCCCGCCAGGCCCCGCCCAGGCCTGGGTCTCCTGCGCGCGCAGCATTCCGTGGACCAGGAAGCGGATCGCGTGGAGGGAGTGTGGCGTGGCTGCGCGTGAGTTTCCTTTTATCTACGTTAAGTTTGAACCTGGGCTTCTCAGACTTCCCGGACTTCCATATCTGGGATCAGGGGGTTCGTAGAGATCTTAAATCCTCACAGCATTCCCTTCTCCCCAAGTAAATCAGGCGTCGCCCCGGGTGCGGGGTCGCCTCGGTTGGAGAAAATCACTGAGAGGCTTTTCCTGTCCCCAGTCTTTCTGCCTTCAGGCCGCGAGACGCCTCCTTTGGCGCCGTTTTCCTGCTTGAAACAGGTTCTACCTCTCCTCCCCCCTGAGCCATGTAAAGTCCTCACCCTCAGGTGGATTCAGGCCCTTCCGGTCCCCAAGCCTCGCCCTTCTGGGCCCCTGCGGGGCGGCGCCGCAGCCCAGTCCTGGGGAAGCCTTGTCCTCTCCCTGGTCCGGGGATTCTGCACACCCCCCTCATCCCCCCTTCCACCTTGGGCCGGGCCCTTCTGCCCCCCAGGACTCTTAGCAGTCACCCCTTCCTGCGATTCCGCGTTGAGGGAGGTGACCATGGTCCCTTCTGGAGACAGCCAGTGTCGTTGGTCCCAAATGACGCCCACTGGGAAATGCCGCCCTTCTTGGAGTCGGACATCTCACCGCGTTCCCCTCCCTTTGACTGTGGGCACAGGGGATCAGGAGAGACAGACTGGGAGGAAACAGAAGAACCGAGAATGGGAAGAAAAGAATGCAAAGTCGAGGATGGGTGAAGGATTTGCAAAGAGACAGTAAGAGTGAAAGAAGGATCTGGGAAAGTAGCAGGGGTAGAAAAGCGACTGGAGAAATGCAGAGAAGGGCTTGATCTCGCGAGAGATGAATTTCAGCAAAATAAGGACAGGGGCAGCCAAGGGGCAGGCACCTCAGAGAGTGGGGGGAGACAGCAGCACGGTGCTGGGACAGTAAGAGGGGCCACCTGGTGACCAGGAGAGCAGAGGGGGAACCAAGGAGGGAGGGAGTGTAGGGACCTGGGGGTGGCAGAGCCTGGGACTGAGGGATTGTGCAGGGAAGAGGCAGTTTACCAGGGAGAGCAGAGGGGGAGCAGAGACGGGGAAGAAAGAGACAGAAATACATGGAGAGTGGGGACATGAAAAGACTGGGGAGAAAGAAATAAGAGATGAAGCAAGTTTCCAGAGTGGAGCAGGACAGGCAGAAGAGAAGGAACAGAGAGAGGGAAGAAGAGGAGAAAGAGCAGAAGAGGAGAGGGTCTGAAACTCAGGGTGGAAAACACAGAAAGAAAAAAAAGAGCTAGAAGAAGAAGGTGAGATTGAGAGATAGGGGATGAATGAGGGAGGGATGCACACAGTAATGAGAAAAGTGGGGGGACACTGGGAACAGTCAAGTGGTAAGATGATTGAATATGATGATTAAGTTATGACCTGTTGATTTCACTCTATATAATTAATTTTTGTTTAAATTGTTCAGATGAGAATGAGAATTGTCAAATTCCTGTTTATAAGGTTGGTGCATTTGATATTTATGACATCAGAGGTTTGCTTCCACTTGTAATCCGTATTCAGCCAGAGGAAAGTGACTTAACTTACTCAGTTGTGGGTAATCTCTTCCCTTTTCCTGTGATGGGGTAGAGTATGGGAAGTGAAGTGGGCAAGAATGATGGGTTCCATTATCGCAGGGTGCCTTTTAAAAAAGAAATTTTTTTGATAGAGGTAGGGGTCTTGCTATGTTGTCCAAGCTGGTCTTGAACTCCTGGCTTCATGCAGTTCTTTCCCCTTAGCCTCTGAAAGTGCTGGGATTACAGGCATGAGCCTATATGGTGCCTTTCAAAAGGAACATTGAAAATGGTTTTGTGCTTTTTTTGTAACGAATTTCCTTTCTTTTCTAGTTCTTTTTCATTTTATTCATTGTTTTTTGAAGCTTGACATGATTTTTAGTTTATTCAATTTGTATTTTTCTATATATAATTACTTCTGAAATGGGGTTTGTAATATCCTATAATCAGCTTACATCATTGCTTTCAAAATTACATATTTTTTCTTTGACCACCAGAATTTAAATTTTTTAAAAAGAATTTCAAATTTATTACTCTTTAAAATAAATTGTATTCAGTTTATTTATTTAGTTTTTCTGTCTATTCTTTCATGATGACATTTTATTTTTTTAAAGACATAGGGTCTGGTTCTGTTGCTCAGGGTGGAAAGTGACATAATCATAGCTCACTGCAGCCTCCAACTTCTGCACTCACATGATGTTGCTATCTCCTAGCCTCTGAAGACTCTGAGATAATAGGTGTTAGCCACCACACCTGGCTGGTCTTTATTATATATTAGAAACATTCTTTGGGACCTAATATATAATTTTAGGTTGTTTCAATGTGTACTTCTTAAAGATACCAATGACCCATTTTTTTTTACCTTAGCATCAAAACCTAGTTGAAGTAGCTAGTCTGGTATTCAAATTTCTTCCCTCATGTTATCTGTTAAAAATAGAGAGATTTAAACTCCTAAATAGATATTCCCCTTAAGTCCCTCTGGTCCATCATGTTCTAGCAAAGGTAGAAGGAAGGGTTGGATTGACTTGGAAGCTTCTCCCAACAGAGCCCATGTATTGATGAAGAAAAAATTTGCTCACACCTGACTGTATTAAACAACCATAGCTAAGTGTTCAGAGTTGTGTATTTTTTCAGTATATTACTGTGATCTTCTGGTAGAAGAGCAATTAAATGTTTGGGATCAATGACATAGAAGTTTGACAGAGAAGTTTCTTTGCTGAGACATGTCAGTGATGGTCTGGAATTTTCTAGAGGAGGTGTGATAGAGAGAAACCCATACATTGGCCCTTCCAGGCCACCATATCAGGATCCAGGTACATGTTCTTCTGACTGAACCCAGACCTTCTCAGGATACCTTGGTGAAACTTCTCTGAGCCTCAGTGAGCCCACCTGCAACATGGAGATGAGGGACTATCCCAGAAAACCTCAGTGTGCTTGACATTGACCCCTGAAGTGATTGGCCTAATAGAGAAGTGTCTGTATGTGGCTTTTGTTTTGGGAGGGAGGAGTTCCTAGTTTTAATTAGAACTTTAAGTGGGACCCAGTCCTTCAAAAACGAAAAAACAAATTACAAACAAAGGCAGTAGAATGGAAGAAACAGGAGCTTTGACTTAGAGACAGACACACCATCTTCAGAGATCTCTCTCTGCTTTAGAGTTATCCTAGCTCCATCTAAAAAGCAGGTCAGTCCATCTGTGGCATTGAACCCTCCACTGGCTTCCCATATTCCTCAGACAACATCCAGGCTCCCCAAAGTGAAGTTTGTGTCAGAGGGTGGACCACTGTGACTATATGTCATTCCCATTCATTCATTTACATGTGGAGCCTGGCTTTTTGTCTGCAACAGGGATTAAAATGGCAAACCAACAGAAAATACTCCTGTATTTTGTTTTGGTTGTTTATACACATACACACACTCTCTCTTTCTCTCTCTCTCTCTCTCTCTCTCTGAGGCTTTTTCCCCCTTCTATTCTTTGATCTTTAAAATACCATTTCTCCACGAAATATGTATTTCTCTTTAGTAAACACCCTTCTTGTATGTTCTATTTAAGAGCTAAAAACTTGCTTGTATTCTGTCTTCAGTTCTTGGCTTCAGTTTTCTCGACTCCATCCAATCAAGCTTCCACATCCACTATTCCACTGATAGTATCTTTTTCAGAGTCACCCGTGATCTCCACATTTCTAAACCAGTATTTAATTTTCTGTCCTTTTTGCTTTTTCTCCTGTCCACAACACATTGCACAGCTGATCTCTCTGTCTCTCTCTCTCTCTCTCTCTCTCTCTCTCTCTCTCTCTCTCTCTCTCTTTCTCTCTCTCTCTCTCTCTCTTTTTCCTTGGTTTAAGGATGTCCCACGAACCTTCAGAAGTCTATTTGATTTAGTTTTCTTGTCACCTCACACTTTCCTCTTCTGGTGTGTCCTGAACTCGCCATTCTCTGAATGTGCGTGTGACCCACAGCCTAGTCCTTGAGCCTCTTCTCATCTCAGTCCACACGCACTGCCTTTCCTAGTCGTCTCTTCTCGTGGTTTAGCCCCACTGACATGTCAGCATTTCCCTTGCACACCTCTGCCCCGAACTGCAGACTCCTGCGTCCAGCTGTGTCCTCCACTCTCTGCTGGGCTAACAGGCATCTGCCCCTTCGCATGTCCAAAGGGACATTCTGAACTCCCCCAAACGTGTTCCCCTTTCGTCCCCACATACCAGGTGAGAGTGACCCTGTACTTCCCGGGGCTTGGCTGAACTGATTGGCTTGTACTTTAATATTTAAGATAATTACATTATTTGTAAAGGCTGTAGTTTGTAATATAAAGAAAAATCACACATTCACTTGATGTGGGTGAGGGTATCTGTAGTTTGCAAACTTCTCTTGAGGTGTGGGAGAGAAACGTGTGCAGACCTGGCCCTCCCTGCTCTGCTCCCCCAGGACCTCTCTGGCCTCATCTCCTGCTTGTGTCGTCCTCGCTCTGCTCCAGCCTCCCAGGCCTCTTCCCTTTTCCTGGGCACGAGGTGGCTCCTGCCTCAGGGCTTCCACGTTGGCAGTCTGTCTGCCTAGAACTCTCTGGCCTCCCTTCTGGAGGTGGAAACATCCTTCCTTGCCCAGGTCATTGTCCTGGTATCCCCTTCTCAGTGGAGGCTTCTCCAACTTCCCCCAATTTAAGATTCCAGCCACACCCTCACCCCCCACACTAGTCCATATTGCCTGTTCTGTGTGTTTCCTTTTGTTCCTTTGCCATTCACTGTCTGGATACTGGTGGCACCAAGTCCCCAAGGGGACAAGAGCAGAGGGAAGTGTGCTGGGCTTGTCCCCGAGCTCACGCCAGGCTGCACGTTAGGGTGCTAAGGCTTTGCAGATACATCCCTGTGCCCCCTTTGCAGAGATTCCCGCTCCCATAGTCACGTTGGGACCCTCCTTCAATATATTTACAGTGCCCCGCGTGGCTCCAGTGCGTATCCAGCATCGAGTGTCAAGGGTCAGTTTCTTTTATTTCTATGGGCAGAGACCAGCCTGCGGTCCATGCAGGGGTGAGGGGGCTGTGCTCTGCATCAGGTTTGGTCAGGGCCACACCTGTGCCCTGGAGGGGAGCCCAGCCCAGCCCAGCTCCCCCCTGCTGCAGCGTGAGTGTGGGCTTCCACAAGGGGGGCGAGTTCTGCACAAAGGGGTCAAAAACTTACTTGTTGGGCTTCCTGTGGGAGGTTTTTATCCTTGCATCCCTCCTGGTGCAGTGGGTCGCAGAGGACCCTCTCTCTGCAGGGTGAGGTCTGTCTTTGTGTGTGCTGTAGCACAGGAAGGGGGTGTGTGGTTTCTTATGTTTAATCCTCCTGTTTATCACATTCAGGATTGACTGCCAAAGACTCATGTTGGGTGAGGAAGAAGCCTGGAAGCGGGGCAGGAGGAAAGGAAAGGAGTCAGGAATGGCTCTGGCTCAGGTAAGGTGATGTTCTCAGTGGGTGGCTCTGTGTCTCCCTCCTTTCTGACATGCCGGGCACTGGAGTTGCTGATCTTCTGTGACTCTGCAGCGTCCTGCCTGTTGTGTTTGCTCACACTCACCCGTGCCCTCCCTCAGTCCCTGTCACCTCCACTCAGATTCCATCTCACTGTGACCCAGTGACAGGACCCTGTGGAGAGGCTCCATTGGACACGGTCCTGGGAAGGGCTTCTCACCCAGGCAGGGGTTGGAGATGGGTGTGGCCCTGTGGCGTCAGTGCTGTTGGGCAGCAGGGCCTGTTCAGGGGCCACGGCCGGATGCACTGTCAGCTCTCTGTAGACTGGGATTAGAGAAGCTGCCCTTGAGTCATGGGTAATGCGCACAGACACCTGCTGAATGCTCTAAAAAGAGAATAATCAGGAGAAATTCTTTCTGAATCATTATATTACATTTGTAGCTAAATCAGTGAGTCACTGACTCAAACTCTTAGTGACAGAGTGGAATGGAAAGTTAGACACAGACACCAATGATGGAGGATTCTTTCATTCCATCATCTGTTTTACTATAACATAGATGTCAAATGGCAGGAGCTTCATTAAACTATTCTCAGACAATCCATACCACAGATACCGTGGTGTTCCTGCAGGGACTCTTGTGCGACAGGCGCTTTAGCTAACAGTGGTTATAATTTTGCTCAGACCGAGGAATAGAACTTCTTTGCCATTAGAGAAGATGGAACTGTATTTTTGTTTTGCCAATTATTATTAAATATTCCATTTTTCTTGAAACATCCCACGGCATATATTTATTTTATAGTAAAACTCCAAACAAACATGCTGAGCTTAGGTGCTAAGGCATAGAGCACCGCCCGTCCTGTCTGGCCTTCCACCCTCCTCACGTGCTAGTGGGGAATCAGTGTTGTCAGTTTTGTGGAGAGAGCACAGGTCCTGTGGAAACGTCGGCTTCATTGTGAGATTAAAAAGCAAAGTTCTTCAGTGAATGCTTTGTTATGACATTTTAACTTCAAAAACATATATGTTTTTTGTTAGGAAACATTGACAGATAGCCTGCCCTGGAATTCTACATCCTTGTTGGAGCATTCTGCTAGTGAAGACAGGTGGATATTTTAACGTTTCCAGTGTTACAAAGCATGCCACCATGGCTGCCTCCAAACAAGCCAACTTCACTATAGATATCAGAGGATTCCTCCAGATTGGGCATTTGAAAGAGTGATTGCTGCTTCTAGGACGGTGCATTTCCTACCTTGCTACGTCTGGCAACATCCCATCTCCATCAGAGCTGCAAAGGTTTAGCTTCTCCCACCTACAACACAGGAGATTGCCCGTTTATGAAACAAAACTTGCTAGTGTGTTCCTTTTACATTTTAAAAATCTGGGCAAAATGAGAATTCCTTTTTTCTCCTACAGTTTCTGATTCCTCACGAGTCTCACAAGCTTTCATTACTTGGTGGATATGTATACATAAGTTGGATTTTGTATGTTGCTCCATTTTCTTTTCTTGTATATGAAGAGTCCGTGGTTTATTTCTTTATGTATATGACCTGTTGTCTTTCTGTAAGTTCTAGATTTTTTAGTGTGAAACAAAATCCTTCTCTGCTTCAAGGCCCCATCTTTTGTTGTATGTGTGTTTTATCTTGCTTTGGAAGACCTCACTTAGTGCATGGATACAAAATGGTATGATTCATTTAGATCTAGTAGTTTAATATTTTGTTTGTATGTCTTATTAATTTGGATTTTTTGGGTATACATTGTAGATACTTTATGATTTAAACTTTCATATAATATATATCATACATTTCTTCTCTGTAGTTCTTCAAAAGATTCTATTTTTGGCCGGGCGCGGTGGCTCAAGCCTGTAATCCTAGCACTCTGGGAGGCCGAGGCGGGCGGATTGCTCGAGTCAGGAGTTCGAAACAGCCTGAGCAAGAGCAAGACCCGTCTCTACTATAAATAGAAAGAAATTAATTGCCAACTAATATATATATATAAAATTAGCGGGCGGGTGGCACATGCCTGTAGTCCCAACTACTAAGGGAGGCTGAGGCAGCAGGATTGCTTGAGCCCAGGAGTTTGAGGTTGCTGTGAGCTAGGCTGACGCCACGGCACTCACTCTAGCCTGTGCAACAAAGCGAGACTCTGTCTCAAAAAAAAAAAGATTCTATTTTTTTAATTTTTGTTCAGGATTACATTGATTCTGCTTTGAGAGAACACAGGCCTACCATTTTACTCTTTTAGTTGTATGTTTTGAAGGACAGAAATTTCCCAGTTGGAGATAGTCCCATTTGTCTATTTTTGCTGTTCTCTGCCTATGCTTTTGGTGTTATACCCAAGAAATCATTGCCAAATGTAATGTTCTGAAATTTCCTTCTGTTCCTAGTCTGTCTTTCACTGTGTCCATGTGGTGTATTACTTTGACTGAGTATCTTGTGGTGAACTACCCTTGTATTCCTTGTGTGTATCACACTTGGTTATCGTCTATAATTCTTTTAATATGCTGTGCAGTTTCTTTCCTAGCATTTTTCTGAAGACTTTTTCTTTTCTTTTTTTTTGAGACACTGTTTTTTCTGTCGCACAGGCTGGAGTAGAGTGGCACATTCATAGCTTACCATATCCTTGAATTCCTGGGCTGTAGTGATCCTCTTGCCTGATCCTCTTATGTAGCTAGGACTACAGGTATGCGCCATCACACCCAGCTAATTTTTAAAATTTTTTGTTGACATGGGGTCTTGTATATTGCCCAGGCTGTCCTCAAACTCCTGAGCTCAAGAGATCCTTCCTCCTTGGCCTCCCAAAGTGCTGGGACTACAGGCTCGAAGCACTACACTCAGCCTGTTGAGGACTTCTTCATCAGTATTCATCAGGAACATTGTATAGTTTTGTTTTCTTGTAATATGAGTGTCTGGATTGTATCAGAGTCATCATGGTGTCACAGAATGAAATTTTTTTGTGTTCCCTTTCTTCCGTTATTCATAAATGAGAAGGATTGGTGTTAATTTTTCATTAAAAGTTTGATAGAATTATGCAGTGATTATGAATTTTGCATGTAGTTCTAGACTCTTGGATAAGAGATTTTGATTACTCTCCTTACTACTTATATGCGTGTGTAGATTTTTTATTTCTTTTTGACTTAATAGGTTGTGTGTATTTCTACAGATTGATCAGTTTCTTCTAGCTTATGTAATTTGTTGGCGTATGCTTGACCACAGTTATCTTTTACACTCTTCTTACTGTGACATGCAGGTGATGCATGTGATGGTGTTCCTTAATTCCCTTAGGCTGTCTTCATTTTTCTTCCTTCTGTTTTTCTTTTTTTGCTCCTTTTTCTGTTTGCTGTTCATTTCTTCTACTTGGTCCCATCAGCTTTTGAGGCCCACTAGTGTGTTTTTCGATTCAGTTATTATTGTATTTTTCAGCTCAAGAATTTTCTTCTGTTTTGTATAGTTCTAGTTCTGATGATAATCTCATTTTGTTCATATTATACATTGTTTTTCCGATGTGGTGAAGTCCATATGTGCTCTCTTAATTCGTTGAATATCCTTGTGACTATTACTTTGATTTCTTTGCATGGTAATTCAAAAAATCTTCATTTCTTTAGTGTCAGTTTGTGGTGATTTAATTTGGTCCTATGTATGGGTTATGTTTCCTTTGTATTTTATATATGTCGTTATCTTCTGTTGGGACTTCAGCATTTCTCAAATCAGGGACTTATTTCTGGTTTTTGTTTCCCTTCATTCAGGGAGGACACTCTTCATGTAGCCTGACTAGAGGTTCTGGAGAACTGTCATTTTGAGGATGTGTCCTCTGTAGGCTTTTGGTTATAATCTAAGGATTAAAGGATTTTGCCATTGGAGCCATTTTCTACTCAGAAGCTCTCCTGTTGTCTGCCTGGTAGTCTGCAGCCTTCTTGGTGCTCTAGCAAACTGTGGTCTGGGTCTCCCCCTAGTGTCCTACCCCTGCTCCTGCAGTAATTGATTATGTCGATGGGTGTCATTTTCAGTGGCTCCCAGGCCCAGTGTGTTTTTACTTTAAGTGATTATGTTCGCCCAAGATAGAAACTTGTCTCTCCAGTAGTCCCCTGAAAATCAAAATGTTGGATGGATTTCCCCATACTTTTCCTCCCCCATAGGAAACCAGGAGTTAGGGCTTTCTTCAAAATGTTGTCATATCTAGGCACGGTAGTGCCTCAGGCAAGGTGTCTCAGGTGTTCTTGTTAGGCATCCATTAGGGTTTCCAACCTCTTAAGTGATTCCTCAACTTCTCACACAGGCAGTTGCTCTGTGTGTTGTTATCTGTGTGTGTCTCTGTGTCTGGGATTTGGGATTCCTCTCTCTTACTGATGTCACCACGTGAATACAGTTTAATAATTTCCTTACCTAAGAGTGCAGATGTCTTTTAGTTAGGTGCTGTGATGTATTTGCTAGTGGAAATGTCAAATGTACCATGTGTATGTGTCTGTTTAATGAGAGCAGCTAAGGAAAGAATATGGTTGTCAGTATATTGGTAGTAGTTTTTATACTTAAACAGCATTCTTTTTCTAGGTTGCAGTCATGTCATGTGTTAATTTGAACAATTCTAGCTCTTTACTCTCTTCCCCACTCCTTTTTTTTTTCCAATATTTTCCTCGTTATTAGTCTCTGCTCAGATATCCTGGGCAGTGGTGTTTGGCTGGAGTCCTGGCCAGCCCACTTTTCTCCATCATAATTAAAGGAGATGCATCCACTGCTTACTGGTGATCATGATATATGGTGAAGTATCTGTGCTTAACATTAGGGTTTTTTTCCCATATTTATTTTTTGGCCCGATTTTTATCTATCTAATAATTATTTCAGGTACATAGTGTTGTGATGCATTTTTTATAAATTTACGTCTGCTTTTGTTTCTCATTTTGTTAGTAGACAGGGTCTCACTTTGTCACCAGGGCTAGAGTACAGAGGCATGAGCAGAGCTCACTGTAGCCTCCCAATTCTCAGCTTAAGTAATCCTCGTGCCTTATCCTCCCAAGTAGGTGGGACTGCAGGTGCGCACAACCACAGCTGGCTAATTTTTAGTTTTCTGGTAGAGGCAGGTTCTCACTATGTAGCCCAGTCTGGGCTCGACCTCTTGGCCTTAAGCCGTCCTCCCACCTTGGCCTCCCAAAGTGCTGGGATTACAGGTGTGAGCCAGCGCACTGGCCTAACCTAAATTTGTTAAAATAATGTATGATACTGAAAATTTCCATTTTTCATGTTATGAATTTATTACAGGTATAATCTATATTCATAAACTCCATTGTGCTGTTTGTTTATGCCTACACATCTAAATTTAACTGCATAAAATTGTATGTATGTTTTTGAATATATGTGTTTAATAGGCATTAGAATTCATGTTCCTACTTTTTTTATGCTGTACCATTTTTTATTTTATTTTTTAAATTATTATTTCAGAATATTATAGGGGTATAAGTATTTTGGTTACAACAGCTTGAGTCAACGTTATAAGTGTGTCCATCACTCAGAGAGTGTATATTGTAGCCATTAGGTGTACTTTCACCCATCCCCTATCCTCCCTTTCACCTGCTTGGTTTCCTTTGAGTTTTACTTCCATATGTACACTTGAGGGCTGATCGGTTAGTTCCAATGTAACAGTGAGTACCTGTGGTGTTTGTTTTTTCATTCTTGTGCTGTTTCTCTTAGGGGAATGGTCTCCGATTCACCCAGGTTGTTACAAAGGGTATTAACTCCTCTTTTCTTCATGGCTCAGTAGTACTCCATGATATACATATACCACATTTTATTAATCTACTCATGAATTAACGTGCACTTGGGTTGATTCCACATCTTTGTGAATGTGAATTGTGCTATAATACACAGCTGAGTGCAAGTGGCTTTTTATCAAAGGACATTTTTTCCTTTGGGTAAATACCCAGTAGTGGAACTGGTGGATAAAATGGTAAGTCTATTTTTAGTTTGTTGACGTATCTTTATACTAATTTCCATAGAGGCTGGACTAGTTTGCAGTCCCACCAAGAGTGTGTAAGTGTTCCTTGCTCCGTGCGTCCACACCAGCATGTATTGTTTTGGGACTTTTTGATAAAAGCCATTCTCACTGGAGTTAGGTGATATCTCATTGTGGTTTTGATGTGCATTTCCCTGGTAATTAGAGATGCTGCACATGTTTTCCTCTGTGTATTGGCCATTAGTCTAGTGTCTATTAAAAAGCTGTGTACATGTGTTTTGCCCTCATTGTAATGGAATTATTTGATTTTTTTCTTGCTGGTTTGCTTCCAGTTTTTTGTAATTTCTAATGATTAGCCGTTTGTTAGAGGGTTAGCATGCAGATATTTTCTCCCATTCTTTAGGGTGTCTGTTTGCTCTATTGATTGTTTCCTTGACTGTGCAGAAGGTTTTTAATTTAATGAAGTCCTATTTATTAATTTTTTTCTTGTTGTGATTGCAGTTGGGGTCGTCTTCTAAATTCTTTGCCTAAGCCAATATCCAGAAGAGTTTTTCCAACATTTTCTTCTAGCATTCTTATAGTTTTATGTCTTAGTTTTAAGTCTGATATCCATCAGAAATCGATTGATATGAGTGGTAAGAAGTAAGGATCCTGTTTCAATCTTCTACATGTGGCTGTCCAATTTTCCCAGCACTAGTTATTGAATAGGAATTCTTTTCCCCAATATATTATTGTCTGCTTTGTCAAAGATCAGATAGCTATATGTGGAGGGTTTTATATGTGGGTTCTCTGTTCTATTACATTGGTCTGTGTGGAGGGTTTAATATCTGGGTTCTCTGTTCTATTACATTGGTCTGTGTCCCTATTTTGTAGCAATAGCATGCTGTTTTGGTTACTATAGCCTTGTAGTATTGCTTTAAGTCTGGTAAAGTGATGCCTCCTGATTAGTTCCTTTTGCTTAATGTTGGTTTGGCTACTGAAGCTCTTTTCCAGTTCCATAGGAAGCATAGAAGCATGTTTTCTAGATCTGCGAAAAATGACCTTGGTATATTGATGGAGATTGCATTGAATGTATACATCACTTTGGGTAGTATGGGCATTTTAACAGTGTTGATTCTGCCAATCCATGAGCATGGCATGTTTTTCCATTTGTTTCCATCCTCTGCAGTTTCCTTTCTCAGTGATTCATAGTTTTCCTGGTAGAGATGTTTCACCTCCTTTGTTTAACATGTTCCTCAGTATTTCATTTTCTTTGTTGCTATTGTGAAAGGTATTGAGTATTTTATTTGATTTTCAGCTTGATTGTTGTTGCTGATACTACCGACTTGTGTACATTGATTTTGTAACCTGAGACTTTGGTGAATTTATTTATCAATTCCTAGAGTTTGTTGGCAGACTCTGGCAGGAGGGAGCGGATTTCCACATATATCAATATTTCACAGTATCACAACATGGATCTGTCATCCCATTCACTTCAATCAAATCTATTCTTAGAGTTCTTGCCTCATATTATATGAACATTAGAACTTTCCTAATAACCCCTTGGTGAAATGTGTTTTTCATTTTAGGGACGTTTGACATTCAGGGATGTGGCCATAGAATTCTCTCAGGAAGAGTGGAAGTGCCTGGAACCTGCTCAGAGGGCTTTATACAGGGCCGTGATGTTGGAGAACTACAGGAACCTGGTCTCCCTGGGTGAGGATAACTTTCTTTTAGAAGTCAGGATGTCCTCTTGTGTATCTTTGCATTTTCTCTTGTGAGTCTCTTGTTAGCCCCTGCATTGCTTGACTGAGATCGAAGCCCTGTTGATTCAGAAATGAAAAGCTTTATAATGTGGTGTCTGGATTTTAACTGCCCCCTTTCTTCAGATGTTCTCCCCTTTGATGATATATCATTAGATTGTTCCAGAGCTTATGTGTACGTAAAACCTGTGGCAGATGTTTAAACTATCCAATTTCGGCCGGGTGCGGTGGCTCACGCCTGTAATCCTAGCACTCTGGGAGGCCGAGGCTAGCGGATTGCTCGAGGTCAGGAGTTCAAAACCAGCCTGAGCAAGAGTGAGACCCCATCTCTACTATAAATAGAAAGAAATTAATTGGCCAACTAATATATATAGAAAAGAATTAGCCAGGCATGGTGGTGCATGCCTGTAGTCCCAGCTACTCGGGAGGCTGAGGCAGGAGGATCGCTTGAGCCTAGAAGTTTGAGGTTGCTGTGAGCTAGGCTGACGTCATGACACTCACTCTAGCCTGTGCAACAAAGCGAGACTCTCTCTCAGAAACAAATAAAATAAAATAAAAAAATATACTATCCAATTTCCCATTTTTCACTCCTGTGCTTTGATCCATTGGTTCTTCAAAGACAGCTAAATGTCTACATGTTAGAATATTCCCTGTTATGTTCCCTACATGTTATAATACTCCCTTCAAAGGGAGGCATTCAGAGGGTGGATTTCTGATATATATTTATGTATCCATCTGCAATATCCTTTCTCCTTACCTAAACATAGGGCTGGGATTCTGGAAAAGCCATGGTACCTTATATTCCTTTCTGTCTATAAGCAGGAATTTCTCATTTTGACCTGAGTATTATCTCCATGTTGGAGCAAGGAAAAGAGCCCTGGACTGTGGAGAGCCAAGTGCAAATAGCTAGAAAATCGGATGGATGGAAATGGATGAAAGGTGTGACCACAGGTAAGCGCTCAGATGGATAGAGAGAAAGCTGCTCATTAAATATTGTTTGGGAAACTCTATGCAAATATCAGGGTTCTATGGGAAAACAGAAGTTTATGTCCTGTGAGCTCTGAAAGGAAATTTTTCTTTTCCTTCACTTCTCACTCTGTTCCTCAGATATGTAACACTTTATCCTTGTACTCTCCAGTGGTGCTTCAGCTCAAACAGAAACATGGAAAGTCCTTCTCATGGAGGACAATGCTGTGTTATCTGACCTTATGAACTCTTTTCTTTCAGAAGCATTGGTTTTCCCCTTGGTCTTTTTTTTGTATTTAATTCCATCTAATGCTATCTCCTCAGTCCATACTGATCAGAGCTGTGGCCTTCATAGTCCTGATGACTGGACCTCTTCATGTTCCATCCCATTTCATGTGTTCGGAAGACCCAGTCAGGAGATGGGAAACATTGTCTGGTCTTCCTTTGCATCTGGGTCTCCAGACACTTCCTGGAGTTTTCTCAAGCCCTTTCTGCCTGGCGAGGTACCTCAGCCATTTTTGCCACACTTTACGGCTGTGTATGACAAGGCAGTGAGTTGGGTTCTCTGAGATTGTCACTCAGCAGAATAAAAAGTGAATAGAAAGCTGGGCGGGGTGGCTCACGCCTGTAATCCTAGCACTCTGGGAGGCCGAGGCGGGCGGATTGCTCAAGTCGGGAGTTCGAAACCAGCCTGAGCAAGACCCCGTCTCTACTATAAATAGAAAGAAATTAATTGGCCAACTAATATATATATATATATACAAAAAATTAGCCGGGCATGGTGGCACATGCCTGTAGTCCCAGCTACTCGGGAGGCTGAGGCAGGAGGATCGCTTGAGCCCAGGAGTTTGAGGTTGCTGTGAGCTAGGCTGAGGCCACGGCACTCACTCTAGCCTGGGCAACAAAAGTGAGACTCTGTCTCAAAAAAAAAAAAAAAAGTCAATAGAAATCTCTTCTCTTTGATCTCCAGTCCTACATGGATGTAGATCCTGTCTTTCAGACACTTCGTGTGGGTTCTCTTGGCAGAACATTGAGTCCATTCTCAAGATGCCACAAAATCTGTTGCTCATGCATTGTATTTTTCTCTTTCCCATTGCTGTGACTACTCAGTGAACATAGGGAGCCTTGGCTCTGCCTGCTTTTGTACTCTCTTCGTCTGTATGATGTTCTTTCTTAACTTGGCTTTTAACATACACGCTCCTGTAGAAGTCAGGATCTGTCCTCGTGTATCTTTGCAGTTTCTCTTGTGAGTCTCTTGTTAACCCCTGCATTTCTTGACTGAGATGATAGCCTGTCAGGGCTGACTTGTTGTGATTATCTACCGTTAGGTTATGTATAACTTCTTGTGGAGTGTCCCATGAAGTGGGTTTAGTGTATAACATAAAATTGATGAAGGAGAACACTTTCACTAATGTGATTGAATATCATCCTGCTACATGCGAAGGTGCTGTTTCAAGCCACTGAGTAGAGCTGGCCCATGATCCTAAGATACAAATATCAAGAGAGCCTGACTGATAAGTATTTCCTATTGTTTTTCTAGCTTTTGAGGAGCATCACAAAGGTGTCACTGTGACAATGCTGATCACATATACTAATGATCATCTCCCTTGAGCCAGCAGTCAGTGATGTCATAATTTCTTCCAGGGAGAAGATTGTTTAAGGATACTGTTATTTATGTCACATTTTCATCCCCTGTATGTGTCACTATTCATTTTCAACAACAGAATCATTGTCATTTTGTCATTGGTTTATACCTATAACAGGGATGGTTTTTTTTTTTTGTTTTTGTTTTTTTTTGAGGCAGAGTCTCACTTTGTTGCCCAGGCTAGAGTGAGTACCGTGGCGTCAGCCTGGCTCACAGCAACCTCAAACTCCTGGGCTCAGCGATCCTATTGCCTCAGCCTCCCGAGTAGCTGGACTACAGGCCATGGCCACTATGCCCGGCTAATTTGTTTGGTATATATATTATTTTAGTGTTGGTCAATTAATTTCTTCCTATTTTGGTAGAGACGGGGTCTCGCCAGCTGGTTTCGAACTCCTGCACCTTGAGCAATCCGCCCGCCTCGGCTCCAAAGTGGTAGGATATACAGGCGTGAGCCACCGCGCCCGGCCAAGGGATGGTTTTGATACACCTTTTTTATTATTACTATTATTATTATTATTTTTATTTCGCATATTATGGGGTACAGATTTTTAAGGTTTCAATAAATGCCCATTTCCCCCCCCCCCACACAGTCTGAGTCTCCCATCATGACATCCCCCAGATGGTGCACATCTCACTCATTATGTATGTATATACCGCCTCCCCTCCCACCTGTCCAATATCCATTACTGTAGTACCTATTTGACCACTTAGGTGCTGTTCAGTTAATACTAATTTGCTGGTGAGTATATGTGGTGCTTGTTTTCCATTCTGGGAAACTTCACTTAATAGTATGGTTCCAACTCTAACAAGGAAAAATATAAGATGTGCTATGTCACATTGTTTCTTAGACTCAAATAGTACTCCATGGTATACATATACCACATTTTATTAATCCATCTCTGGATTGATGACACTTTGGGCTATTTCCACAGCCTTTGCAATTATGAATTGTGCTGCTGCTAAAACATTGAGTGCAGGTGTCCTTTTGTAGAGTGTATTGGATCTTTTGGGTAGATGCCTAACATGGGATTGCTGGATCAAATAGTAGAAATCTTGTATCGCTTTTGGATATCTCCATATTGCTTTCCACAGAGTTGATAGTTTGCAGTCCACCAGCAGTGTAAGGATGTTCTCTCTCCTCGCGAACCACGCCAGCATTTATTGTTGGAGATTTTTTGATAAAGGCCATTCTCACTGGGTTAAGTGGTATCTCATTGGTGTTTTGATTTGCATTCCCTGATGATTAGAAGTTTGAGCATTTTTTCATATGTTTGTTGGCCATTCTTCTGTCTTCTTTAGAAAAGTTCTGTTCAAGTGCTTGCCCACTTTTTAATGGGTTATTTGATTTTTTCTTCCTGATTTTCGTGAGTTCTAAGTATATTCTAGTTATCAGTTCCTTATGGATGCATAGGATGCAAAATATTCTCCATTCTGTAGGTTGTCTGTTTACTTTCATGACTATTTCTTTGGCTGTGCAGAAGCTTTGTAGTTTGATCATGTCCCATTTATTTATTTTTGTTGCTGCTGTGATTGCCTTTGGGACTTCTTCATAAACTCTTTGCCTAGGCCGATGTCTAGGACAGTGTTTCCACTTTTTCCTCTAGAGTTCTAGATAGTTTCATACTCTAGGTTAGTCTGTTATCCAGCGTGAATTGATTTTTGTGAGAGGTGAAAGGTGTGGGTCCTGTTTTAGCCTTCTACAGATGGCTATCCAGTTTTCCCAGCACATTTATTGAAAAGGGATTCTTTTTCCCCAGCGTATATTTTTGTCTGCTTTGTCAAAGGTTAGATGGCTATATGATGATGGTTTTATATCAGGATTCTCACATCTGTTCCACTGGTAATAGTCCTATTTTTGTGCAATACCATATTTGATTTAATTACTACAGCTTTGTAGTATAGTTTGATATCTGCATATTAATGCCTCCCATTTGTTTTTGTTCGCCTAGAATTGCTCTTGATATTCGGGGTTTCTTCTGGTTCCATCACGAAGTGTAAAATTATTTTTTCTATATCTGTGAAGAATGCTGATGGGATTTAATAGGTGTAGCATTGAATCTCTAGATCAGTTTGGGTAGTATGACATTTGATGATTATGAGTCTGCCGATCCACGAGCATGGTATGGATTTCATCTGTTTCACATCCTCGCTATTTCCTTCCTCAGTGTTTCATAGTTTCCCTGTAGAGGTCTTTTCGTCCTTGGTTAAGATATTCCTAGGTACTTTAATTTCTTTGTTGCTATTGTGAAGGGATTGAGTCTTTGATTTGGTTCTCAATTAGATTGTTGTTGCCGTATATGAATGCTCTGATTTTGTGTATTCATTTTGTATCCTGAGACTTTACTAAATTCATTGATCAGTTCCAGGAGTTTCTTGTGAATCTTTGGGGTTTCTAGATACAAATCATATCATCAGCAAACAGTGAAAGTTTGATCTCTTCTGCTCCTATTTGGATACCTTTGATTCATTTCCTGCTGATTGCTGTAGCCAAGACTTCCACACTGTGTTGAACAGAAGTGGAGATTGGGCAGCCATGTCTGGTTCCGTTTAAGTGAAAGATTTCAATTTTTCCATTCAGTATGATGTGGCTATGGGTCGTTCATATATGGTCTGTATCATTTTTAGGTATGTCTTCTATGCCTATTTTCTTAAGTGTCGAGGGAAGTGGTGTTTGAATTGTCAAAAGCTTTTTCTGCATCAATTGAAAGAATCATGTGGTCTTTGTCTTGCTTCTGTTATGTGGTGAATGGCATTATAGATTTACATATGTTGAACCATCCCTGCATCCCTGGGATGAAGCCACTTGTCGTGATGGATTATTTTTTTGATAAGTCGTCTGGATTCGGTTAGCTAGGTTTGTTGAAAATTTGCATCTATATTCATTAGGGATTGGTTGTAGTTTCTTTTTTGTTGCATCCTTTCCTGGTTTTGTATCAGAGTAATATCGCTTCAAAAAGGTGTGCGCGGAGGTTCGCTTTTCTCGACTGTCTTGCGAATAGCTTTCTGCCGACGATAGCGTACTAGTTCCTTCTTTGTGAATGTGGTAATCCGGTGTGAGGCCATCTGACCGGGAACTTTCTTTTTAGGAGACTTTTAATTGCTTTCTTTTATTTCAGCTGTTGGAGATTGTGTCTTTAGGAATCTATTTCTTCCTGGTTTGAAGCTAGGGAGGCTGTGTGTTCTAGAAATTTTGTCCCATTGTCCTCCACATTTTCCAGTTTGTGGCATAAAGATTTTTGGTAGTATCATAAATGTGATCTTGATCTCTTTGGGATCAGGTTGTGATATCTCCTTTTTGATTCCTGATGAGCTTATTAGGAGATTTCTTCTTTCTGCTTTT